TTTGATTATTGATTTTTTTTTTCCACTTATTTTTCAATTAATTTTGTTGCATGCATGTATGTACGTTATTATTTATGCTTTTTTGAAATTTTAAAATTATTTCCTAGGTTTCCATGTGTGTAGAATTTAATGGTGCAATCCAATTTTTTTAAAACTCGACGGTTCATTTTTAATACTGAAATTAGACCCATTTTTTCACTTAATTTTTTACAGCTTAATTCCCATCATTTTTTGACATTTTAAATTTATTTCCCACACTTTAAGACATGTAGAAAATGATGGTAGCAACCATTTTTCCCCAAAATGAAAACTATACCTTGAATTCCGCATTTGACACGTTTTTTTTAATTAATTCATCACTTTTTCACTTAATTGTTTGCATACATGTGTGTACCTTATTTTCTATGCTTTTTTGAAATTTTAAAGTTGTTTCCTACATTTCAAAGTGTATAGAATTTAATGGTAATATTCAATTTCCATAAAACTCAATGGTTCATTCTGAATACTGTAATTAGTCATATTTTTCAATTGATTTTTAACAGCTTAATTTTCATTATTTTTTGACATTTTAAATTTGTTTCCTACACTTTCAAACATGTATAAAATTATGGCAACAATGAATTTTCATCAAAATGAAAACTATATCTTGAATAATGCCTTTGACGTGTTTCCTGAATTAATTCTTACACGCTCAATTATCCTTATTTTTTGGAATTTCAAGCTCATTTCCTACACTTTTAAAGGTTTCAGAATTGATGGCTGTATCCATTTTGCATTCAAATAAAATTTGTATATGGTACAAATTATGCAAGAAACAGGGTACGCTCATCTATTAAGATTGAAGCTTGTACTTTGAGTGAAATTGGACTTCACCATTCAATTCTAAACATTTGTAAATGTAGGAAATAAATTTAAAATAAAAAAAAATGCTTAAAATCAGGCCAGTAAAAATCAATCCAAAAAACATTAAAAAAAGCCTGTCCACTGCAGTATTCAGTAACAAGCACTGATTTTTATGTAAAATGGTTGTTACCATCATTTTTATCATGTATTAAAGCGTGGGAAATAAACTTAAAATGTCAAAAAATATTGAGAAATAACATGTAAAGAATTAATTGAAAAAAGTGTCTAGTTTCAGTATTAAAAATGAACTGTTGAGTTTTAAGAAAATTGGATGTTACCATTAAATTCTAAACACTTTGAAATGTAGGAAACACCTTTAAAATTTCCAAAAAGCATAAAATATAAGGTAAAAAAAACTAATGCAAATAATTGAGTGAAAAAGTGAAGAATTAAATAAACAAAACGGGGTCAAATGCAGTATACAAGATGTAGTTTTCATTTTGAGTCAAAATAATTTTTACCATAATGTTATAAATGTCTTAAAGTGTAGGAAATAAATTTAGAATGTCAAAAAGTAATTAAAATTAAGCTGTAAAAAATTAAGTGAAAAAATGGGTCTAATTTCAGTATTCAAGATGAACCGTTGATTTTTAAAAAAATTGGATTGCACCATTAAATTCTGACCACATTAAAACCTAGGAAATAATTTTAAAATTTCAAAAAAGGCTAAAAAATAAGGTACAAACATGTTTGCAAACAATTAATTGAGAAATGAGTGAAAAAAAATAATTAATAATCAAAATTCATTTTTATGGAAAATGGTTTTTACCATTAAATTCTACACGCTTTAAAACATAGGAAACAATTTTAGAAATTCAAAAAAACTCAAAAAATAAGTGGTAAAAAATTAATTAAAAAACCGTGTTTAAACGCGGAAACCGTGTGTGCTGCGCGCAGCAGAAACCGTGTGTAAACGCGGAAAAACCGTGTTTTTTTATTAATGCCCTTAATTTATTTTTACCTCTTTTCCTATTGGCTCATAGTATGTGCCAATTTCCTCTTAATTTTCCATTCTTTTTTGTTAACATTTTTACTATTTTTTCTAATTAAGATGCTCAACTTTTCTTAATTTTCCATTATCTTTTATATGTTTCCAATTTTTTTAAATTAAGATGCTAAATTTCTCTTAATTTTCCTTTCAATTTTTTTTTTACTTTTTTCCATTCCATTTGCTTTTTTAATTAAGATGGCCATTTTTCATTGAGTTTCCATTTTTTTTACTTGTTTCCCTTTTTTTTGCTTGTTTCCTATTTTTTTTATTTTGATGCTCATTTTTTTCTTGATTTTCCTTTTTTTTTTATTTTTTCCATCCTTCTTTTTTTTGTAAATACATATGCTTTTTTGACCCAATGTGTCCGATACGGGCAATAAATACATGCGTCAGTATTGCTTAAGTGTGTATTGCTAAAACAATGTGATACCAATACAAGGGGATTTATTGCATCATATTGCATTGTTTCACCGTTGTTTGTATGGAGATAAGCGATTGCATTGCTTTAGGCCCCGCTTGGCTGCAAATCACGATTTGTGATTTGGGTAAGGTTTGGTGCGGATTTGGACTGTGCAATATAAAACAATATAAAGTTTTTGCACAAACTCCTGCCAAACCTCAACTCAAAATTGCAAATTACGGATGTCCAAACGGGGTCAAAGCCAGGAGTTGAACTTGTTTTTTCTTTGGGGGGGATGTCAAACAATATTCACGCCAGCAAGAGACCACAGGAGGATGTCGCCAGCAAGTCGCGCAACTGGAGGACTTCCCGTTGGATCTGGGACCCATGCAGAGGTTGATCTAGACCCAAAAATTCTTAATTCTTGCAGGGAAATTTGAATTTTGAGGCTCTAAACCGGCACTGGGAGACCCGCAGATGTTGATGGGAAGTCATCCACTATCAGGGGCACCACCCGAATTTGGGAAGTGGCATAGGACTAGCTTATCTAAGCCTCTCAAACGGAGGGGGAGTTAGGGGACCGACCCCCCTTGCGTCCCTGCGGGACGCTCTGTGTAGGAGAGGCTTATGCCAAAAGTCACATGCGTCCGGTGAGGGGGGCGGCTTTTTGCCCAGAAAAACACAAAAAATAGAAATGATTGGTTTTTTAAGAAAACAACTCAAGTTAGTTGAATACTGAGTCAGCAAAGTTGTAGTCTTGCTTCTCAGGTACATTTTCAATTTTTTTGTAAATTTTTGTCTGAAACTGGCTGCTCGGCAACCACTTGAATCCAATGGATTCCACATGATTGCAATCAATTGTTCAGATTAACTCTGCTGAGCTTTTGCAGCAGACTTGCTTGGATTTTTTTCCTATCAACTTAAGTGCAATTGAAAGTATTGGC